CAAAATATATATTGTGTGTTGGAGTGTTCCAGACGCTACATACTACTGGCAAGCTCAAGGTCAGATGCTCTTGACAGGGCTAGAGTGGTGTGATTTTGTTGTTTGTGCTCAGGAAGACATGTTAGTCGAGTGAATTTATAAAGATCTTGATGTAATGCACACCATTAGAGACAGAGCAGATCATTTTTTCTTTTACCACTACATACAGAAGTGTTTGCAGTAAGTCACTCCAATGGCCTTGGGCATAGTATCTTTCAATAAGTTTAATCAGTTTCAATCAGTTCATTAATCAGTTCAGTGAGTTCAGGTGTTATTGTTCATTTTTACAAATCTACAATATTTGAACTGATCTATTGTTTATTTTTGTGAGTCTATACAGTATTCTAACTGATCTGTTGTTCATGTGAGCAAGTCTATACAAAATGGAAATTGTTACTTAGTATACAGTACACATACTGTTATTGTTTTACTGTTACACTGTATACTGCTGTTGTTCACAGATATTTTTATACTGTTACATAACTGTCAATGTAGAGTAGCATACAATATTACAGCTTTTCTTAAAGTGCCCATGGACCATCAAGTTACTGTTGATGGGCTCTGAAAGGGATTTTGTGTACGTATTTATTTGCATTAATAATTGCGAAGGAATGTTGTAGGTAACTATCATAATAAATGTAATTCATAAATATAACTTATAACATTCAAATAAATAGAAAAGGCACTTGAGAATACTGTATCTTAGTCTGGTCTTTCACCATAGTTGTAAATAAAGATTTGAGCAGGTGGCAGAAGATTGACAGAATTAGAACTGTGTTGCAATTGCAGGTTTAACTATGGCTGCTCCAACAAAGGAAGGAGGTCAAAAGTTGGATGGTAAAATTATTTTTTTAATGAACCAACTGGTCAAGAAGAATGTTAATTATCAGGTATCAGTAATGAAAGAATGTTGGTACGAACTATATGTGGTAAGTCAAAAGGCAAGCAAAAAAACATCAGGCCATCATATTAAGAAAATTAGACAGTTTGCAGAAAATATTTACAATATTTCAAACCATGCCTTGACAAGTGGTCCATTCTGATAGTTGACAGAATTATATGTGGCAAGTAAAAAAACATCCCAGATGAGGTAAAAGTAACAAGCAAAAAAAAATCTAATAGGCAATCATAGTAAGAAAATTAAGACAGTTTCCAGACCATATTTACAATATTTCAATGTGCAAAATAAAGACTTAGTACACAGACAAGAATGACACTGTAGACTCACTGGGCCCATGCCTTGACAAGTGGTCCATTCTGATAGTTAATGAGAAGACATGACACGGCAAACAGTTGATTAATGCTACCAGAAATGGACAAGGGGATGACTGCGTCAAACAACTTATGTTCCTTCACCCGCCGGATCAGGCGTTCAACATGCACCCTGAGCCTGGCCACAGACTGAGTGTGTATCACCTCTCCGGCAGACATTTGTGTGCCCTTGGTCACAAAAGCAGGCCTGTGGATTTTGCATGGTACCAGGTTATCAATTAAGAAACCCTTGTCCACCATTATGGCCATGTCAGGGGTAAGGACGTCAATGATCCCTGATTGCTTGAACAGCTCCCGGTCACTGATTGACCCCGCATACAGTCCAGAGACAAAAGTTACTGCACCATGAGGTGCCATTCCTATCAAAGCCTTGAAGGTGCAGTGAGATTTGTAGTTGGAAAAGACCTCACTCTGTAATAGCAGAGACGAAGGCGTTTGGCAGCGGAGCTCAGTACAGTCCAGGATAACCTGGGTGTCTCGGAAATTCTCAAATTCCTCTGGCAGATAGGCTCGTACTCTTTCTTTCGGCAACCAAACAACCAAATTACCTAAAAGAAAATAGAGGAAGTTTGCCCAAGTGGTTATGATGCGGCTCACTGTAGTTTGATGGACATGGGGACATGGAACCAGGTCTTTCTGCTTGAGGCCCAAAGCAAGGTGCATCATGAAGAGGAAGAATTCATCAATTGCAGGAAGTGCCCGAGTCTTCACATATAGCCCAGTCTCCCTGGTGACTTTGGAGCTGGTGACACGAATCATCCTGTGTGTTGAAGGTTCAATCTGTTCCCAGAAGGCCATCATGTGCTTATAGGTTGCAAATCTGCAAATAAATAAATTGTTTCTTTTAAAACATTTAAGGCATAACACATGGTACAATAATTAGGTAATTACTACAGTCTTAAACTGATTCTCAGATAATGAAACTACACTGACTTTGCACACGCCCACCCCTCAACACTCACACACACACACACATCACACTAATAAACTATATACTAGGCCTAATAAACTATAAAAAATATTTTAAAAAACACTTTACCAGTGTGCTAATGGCTTACATAAATAATAATCACAAAATGGTTTTACCTTGTGTAAAAGCGAATATCCTCATCAGACCCCGCGAATCTCTGGAGGCCAAAGCGGCTATTCACCTTGGCCTGCTCCAGCTGTTTCCGCAGATCTTCTATCTCTCTCTTCAACTCCTCATTTTCACATAGTGATAAGTCCAGAGCTGCAGGCTCCGGAACTGAACAATAATCATGACCGACTGTATGTCCACGATCAATTTCCATTTCGTTTTCCTCCATATCTGATTCCGGTAGCGGTGGTCGCTCTTGTCGTTCCCAAACACTTAACCTCGGCGGCTGCATTTGGCGTTCACGGTTCCACTCAAATACTGAAGGGACAGCCCCTTTTTTCAGACACCTCCTACTTGTTCCTTCCACAAAATCATCTGGTTTGAAATGTACACGGCATACCTTTGTGTGTTTCGTGATTTGGAAGTTGATCCTTCTAATGTTTACAATGCATTTTTTCCTGATCTCTTCCTTCACCGGAAAGGAATGAAAACTAGCACAGGAGTTGTAGCGTGAAGACACAGAGCACAGCGGGACACTACAGTGCTCTGACGCTGCCTTCATTTGCTTTTGACGTCGGAAAACCGTCTTTTCCATGGTTATGGAGAAGATATAATGTCGATTTAAAACGGTATAAAACTACGACGTTTTCTTTGTTGTTTTAGTGAGGGGGCGTGACTCCCACACAGCTGATGGTTTCTCTTAGTTACCATACAAACCGGAAGTGCCCTTGCCGGTATAAAGTATGAGCGGAAATACATCACAATTCTCGTTGCTTAGAGCCCATTCCTTAAACATGTCTATTTTCTAAACCAAATTGAGGGATATGAAATATGTCAACAATTGTCTAGAATGATAAGTACACCCAAAGGTCACGTCCCAATGAAGTTCTGGAAGGTCAAAATCAGCCTTTGACTTTAAAACAGCCCAATCTGCATTATTTGCGTGAGGCCCACCTGTGGGGGAACTCAGCTGTCAGCGAGACCCCCCCCCCTCACCCAGTGAGCCGATCAGAGGACAAAGAGACAACTCCGCAAGGTTACACTGCCTCTCTCTCGCGCTACACTGGCCGCACAGGGGGGAGGAGGGGAGCGGCCATGGCCCCCCCGGGCACATTTCCTCTGTTCCCACGGGGGCATTGACATTCAATTGTCCCTGTTTGCTCATTATCAGAGCAGCATGGAACAGTCTGAGGCCGTTTTAACAGGCCGTATGTAGTAGAGATAAAACTCCCTGTTCAAGGGGGGAGACTGCAGTCCACAACAACCATCTCCCTCTCTCGCTCTCTCTGTTTTTCACACATACTCACTTTGTCTTTCTCTCTCACACGTGTCTATATAGAAAACAAGCAATGCGATCCAACAAAATTAAAATGCTCCTTGGGCATTCACACTTTACAGGAAATTTGACCAAAAAATTATATAAAATTATAAACAAAATGAATTTAAATTCTTGTCAGTAACACTTTGCTGTAATATACCGTTTTGTCACATATATCATCTTGTTAGAGCGCACACACAAACAGAGCACAAGCAGTGATGTCTGATTTACGAATAAATGACTCTTACAAACCAAATCTTTTTACTGAGTCAAAAAGATTTGCGAAACAGCCCTGATCTCATTTGTGATTGAGCAGTTTGTATCAGACTCACTCAGTAAGTGAATCATCTCACTCAAAAGACTCTGGATGGTGAATCATCAGTGAATCATCCAGAGTCATTACTCAGATGACTTCTTCACTGAACCGCGAGTCATTTTTCAGCTATGTCCGATTCAAAATGAACTGGAAACCATTATTGTAATGTATAGGTTAATGACACAAGACTGTTTTTGTCATATGATAATGTGTGATTACAAATACGCCTACAAGTTCACAAAGTAGTTTTATTCTAATCATAATAATAAAATATTCAAAAATCATTCAAAAAATTTACAATTCTATTAGCCAATCATTTAATATATGTGGTCAAATTGTAAGATCAAATTGACTGTAAGAAGTTTGTTTGGGTAAGATTAAATTCAAATCAGGTTTATTTGTATAACGCTTTTTACAATACATCCTTATAGAAAATTCATGCTTCAATGTTACAATTAGGAATTATTATTATCAGCCAGATATGGCAGTAATATACAGCTAGATAATATGTTATGTGATTAGTTAATTCCATGTATCAGTTAAGCAGACACAGTGTTAGGCAGCGATTCCAGATTGTGCTCTTAATGATTACAATATAGGGATAATCTGGAGATTAGCATATAAGAATAGTATCATATGGACATGTTGGAACCATAATCATGCAATGCATTGCTTACATTAAATGTAAATCAAAATAGGAGTGGAGCTCATGTGATACGCCCTATGTTACGGTCATTTAATAGGTGCAGTCTAGTTGTGTTGTGTCACGTTACTTACTTGCAGTGTAGATACGGTGATACTAGTGCACTTGGACAGCACTGCAGTCCCAGATGTATTTCTGGTCCCTCTGAAACACTCACTCCGGGGAAATCTCAGCATACGGCACTGCAGATCAATGATTGCTGACTGTACTGCTACACAACTACCATTTCCATGACACTGTTATTTCAGTGACATATTGCTTTCAGTGTGAGTGTGTGTGTGTGTGTGTGTGTTTGAATGTCATCATATGTCCATAAATTAAGCATTCTAGATTAGTCTCATAAAAAAAATGAATATTGTAGGTAAATATTATAGAGTAAACAGATGATATGAGATGGAATGCATTGAGTGGACAGATACAAATAGAGTGTAAATGAGACACATCAACCTTGTGCTTTAGTCAATAGCAGCCGTGACCCTTCAAGGTGTGAATGCCATGCCCTTTGGACCCCTCGTTGCCCCACTGTTATCTGCATCCAGCAAACAGATTTAGCCTCTACTGTGAAGTCCATGTGCACAGGTTTTTTATGTCTGGTTACAAGACATCTGATCATATGCAAACATTTTGCTATTAAAAAAGGAAGACTGTAGCTCCCCTATAATTTATGCTGCTAACAGATCAAATGTTGATGTAAGGATGACCTCTACACCGCCGTCTGTGATTAAACAGTTTCCAACTGCTGAAAGCAAATTATGGAGAGCAGACAGATAAAATATTCAGTCTGACCTTCAGATGGCCCTGAAACACAATCTCCTCTGAATAATCTACGGGTCACTAACTTTGTCCTTCACACTGTGAAAATCTCACCCGCCCCTCACACACGTACTCCTCTCTCACTGTCTCGCTCCGTCTCTCTGTATTTCTCTTCCTCCTTGGACTTTAAAAGGAATAGTTAATCCAGGAATGAAAATTCTGTCATCAATTACTCATCCTCATGTCGCTCCAAACCTGCATGATTTTCTTTCTTCTTTAAAACACGAGAAGAAATTTTGAGGAATGTGCATGCTGCTTGAATACTATGGAAGCATATATTGACCTGGGTCCTGTCAAGCTCCAAAAAAAATAAAAATAAAAAAATAAATAAAAATTAGTCTAATTTCTGCACCAATAACTACTATTTATTATTCATTGATAATCTTTTGAACAAGGCTTTGTCAAGATGATGATGTCAAGCTAAGTAAAATTGTGTTATTTCAATTTCTAATTAATTCTACTTAATTTTAAAATCTAACTTTGCATCCTCAATTCCAATTCATATCCAATTTAGAAATATATGTATACAGTAAAGTAACACTGTCTCTTGAAAGTTCAGTATTTATTTACACTAAATTTGATTTAAAAACTACAGTATAAATTAATTAATATGACCGAGCTAAAAATATAGTAATCAACAGCAAAATTAAACAATATTCCACTAGGAAAAAGATGATCCAAAATTCTGTACAGATTTAAATGGGTGAATCTTTTTGTGAATCTTTTAAATAAACTGTCTGAACGAACCGATTCATTCACTCTATACAATGCATCAGACATTCTAACTCTAAATGTGTTATTTTTTCCTAAATAGGTTTAGTGCAAACCCCGTCCCAGATCTGATTCCACTGGTTAACCTAATCAGGCAGTCACTTGCCAAGAAAAGGTCAGACTTCATGGATTCAGTTCAGAAAAATCATGGATGGATCCGATCATAACACACAGTAATGCTAATGAAATGAAATCTTTACTAATGAAAGCCATTACCAATGAAATCTTCAGAATTGGCTGTGGAAAAGGGGTTACTCTTGGGGCTTGGGGGAAAAAATGATGCAACGCTAGATATTTGAGAGAAAACTGATTCACTAGAATGAATTTGATATTAAAGTACTACATTAAGAGAACCATTTGGTATTCACCAATTCAGTGAAATCAATAAGACGTTTGTCCAACACTACGTGTGAGACAGATCCATTTAGGTAAGCACTTTTTCTGGTTTCATGACACTTGTGCATATACACATCCTCCCAGACATCACAGCCACTGGATCCACAGTCATTACTGCAGTCAGACTTGCGTCCAGGAGAAATGTCCTTTTGATGCATGTAACAGCTACAAACCCTCTGCATCTGCTGGAAAATACTGATGTTTCAGCAGCTTTGAGACATCAGTTATGCAGTGTATGATTACAGAGTGGCACAAGGCCAGCGGAAACGCTGAGGCCATCCTGACACAGACGGGAACTACATGGTGACATTTGAGTCCATCTAATAAACACCTGTGAGGAACAGTATCATGAATTAGTCATTATGTTGGAGACCATACACTGGCTAAGTCATATGGATGTATTTGCCTTGACGTACCTAGTTCAAGGGTAAGTAAACATATTTAATCTTTAGTGAGTATCAGTGCCATATGGAAGCCAGCGCCTGTTTTATCTTCAGACAAACCCCACCTGCTGGGGTTGGCCAGGGAGATTCAATCATAGTATTACACTACACCTTAGTTATATCAAAACAAGGTTGCATTAGGACCCACACAAACCACAACTCTTGTTTAAAAGAGTACAAAGACGTTTTTATTGCTCATAACTTGTGGAGAGAAATAGCGTGGACAAAGCTGAAAACTTTCCAGTGAGCATGTGTCGACTGGCCAGCTCGTAGTTTTATAGTCGAAAAAGATGGAACAACAACAACAAACTACTGAAGACGGCAACAACAACAGATGTCCGCATTGACAAGTACTTGTGTGTGTGTTAAGAGATACATGCAACTCTAGTTGAAAAGAGCACAAATAAAAAAAAATGTAACTTGTGGAGAGAAATAGCGCAGACACTGGACAAAGATTAAACTTTCAATACACATGTGTCAACCACTATGCTTTGTGTCAAAAATGAAAGCATACTTTGAGATTTAGTCCGGATTTTTCACTGGCATAAAATTATTTAGATTTTTCCATTATGTCAGGGCTTCCCAAATTTTTTGTCAGCCAAAACCCTTGAAGAACTGTAAGTTAATATTTTAAATACACTTAAAAACTTTACACTTTAAAAACACTTGCATGTTCACACTTCTCTGATTTCGATATTAATTATTACTAGTAATAGTAGTAGTATGTTTTAACTCTAACTTTATAAAAATAAAGACAAATATATTACTGTTGCAAATTACAATTGTACTGCAAAATGAATGAAAATGAATGCTTGATAATTATAAAATGTGCTGCATGCTTCACTCTGAATACACAGTGCATCAGAATTATTTTTATTTTACATTTGATATAATTCAATATTT